TGTCAATGTTATTTTTGTGGTGTTAATTTATTTTCTATGTGGGGTATGCGTTGTCATATCATAGAGCAAATGGTCGTCATTCGAATAGTGTAACGCAATGGTTTTTTTGTTTTAATAGCAGGTATGGAGTTTGTAGTGTTGTCGCTGTGTACATTAGCCTTGACAAGTCGGCAACATACTTTCTAACACTACCAATGGTTTTTTTTTTTTTGAAAGGCAATTGTGTTTGTCTTTTCGTTGCCAATCTGGTGGATGTCTGACCAGACAACTGTGAGCGGGGTGTTCATTCACTAGACCTACGTAATGAGCTTTACCATCCTGTACTACCTGCCACAATTGGCACACTGAAATATTAATCCAAGTGTAATCATAATGGTAGCCCACAAAAATAACATTGTTGAATTTAAAAAAAAAATTAAAACACAAAACGTCAACAACATATCGACACAAATCAACATTGACAACATACCACCACACGCATGTGGTCCAATTATTAAATGACAATACCGGATGAGACACAAACACAAAACTCACTGATTACGCCACATATTAGAGAGTACAAACATTATGCAACATTACAAATCCCATATTACCATAAAAAATTATGGAATTAAAACAGAGTTATAACCATCCTAGTATTTCATTTCAAACACTCCAAGTTGGAGATGGATCTAATACTTTCACCCGTCGTCGACATACAAACAAACCTTACCACAATAACAATTCATGATAACACGAACATCACACAATGGGAAATTTATATAATACTTTAACAACAAGCTCGAGTAACACATATAAAGCTTTCGTAACAAACCACACACTCCACCATAACGGAAGCCCCAAAATCATCATGCAATAGTTTTCATTATAGCAACCCCACATATCAATTTGCAAAACGTATACATGTGTGGTTGTTAACAACACCACATATTACCCAACATGACCAAATTTAATGAACATATGGACTGCACTTTTAAAACGACACGCTACGACAAAACAAACACAATAACCGACATTGATGTTGCATTTAATTAACATGGACACTAACAATGATACACCCTACAAAAATCAAAGCCTTTTTTATCACACATCAATGAATGCAACCATTAATGTCAACAATGACACACATTACCCAACGTGAACAAACTCACCAAAACATGGGGACCCAACTGTTAAAATAACACGACGACAACACAAATGCAAGTCCTGATAAATTGACATTGCATTTAATTAAGATGGACACCAACAATGTTACACTATCGATGTCCTTCATCACACATCAACTAATACAGCCGTTAATGTTAACATCAACACACATTACCCAACATCAACAACGAGCCAAAACATAGGGACTTAACTGCTAAAATAACACAACGACAACACAATGACAAATACCAAACACTGACATTGCATTTAATTAACATGGACACAAACAATGTTACACCCTAATTGAAATCGATGTCTCTGTAATCACACATCAACCACCAACTACATATTCCAAAAACCAGGGGACCCCTTGCCACATTGGAACAGAACAGGACAACCAATAGCACATACACCAATAACATCACACATAATCGCAGATACACTATTCCACAAAATAAAAAGTGACCCAAGAAGCAAAAGAATTTCAATGAAATCATGTTACACTAGCAGAACTAATACCCCCAAAATCGAAGGACACTACACAACATTAACCCCAACAAAATTCCAAATCCACATTAACAATAACACACAAACAACATGTCGGACGATTAACCAACATTACTTAACCACCATTAACACCAAACCCAAACTACAACGTCACTCACACAACTCAACACATCAAACAAAACGAATAAAAGAACAGCACGAACACATACTTGATGCCATGGGTTCGAAACACAATCACCGACTAATGTGGAAGGCAATAAGTCAACCCGCTAGCAACACGTCAACAGCGTCAACTATAACAACATAGCGATATAGTGCCGGACCATAATTGACACTAGAAATGTACGCACAAGAAAGAGTTTTTGTGTTTCTGGGGTTTGGGATGAAACATAATGTTAAATTGGGCAATGTAAAATGCAGAATGAACATTACCACAATCGAATGATGCAAAAATGGGGTAAACTTCATGGAATCAACATTGGAATACTAGAACCTTCCATCTTCATCTATTTCGTTTTGATCAGGAAGAAGGGAAACCCAAAAAACCTACAATACGCTTTTTGAACAAATTTGTAAATTCCACATTACAAAAAACCCACATATATATCTAATATTGGTACAACACGCGTGTAATTGGTGTACAATTGCGTCATTAACATTGAAATGGGATTTATGGGTTCATTAGATAAAACACATGACTAAATGGTTAACAAGGTCTTAACTTCGGATTTATTGGTGCTTTTACACTTATAAAATTAAGATAAGTGATTTAAAATAAAGTATAAATATCATTGTTTTAAAAAAAATTAGATACATATATGTCTAATTTTTTTTTTTTTGGTATAAAATAAATTCCTGATACTGCTAGTTTATCATGAAATAAAAAATTATAGTAATTCTAGTAAGTAGATGGTTATATTGTCCAGTGAAACAAATCAAATCTAATGATAAATAAAGGGCTTGTTTGGCATTGGCTTTTTGGTTAAAAAATACAAAAGATAAAATATACAAAATAAGTTAATAAGACAAAATGTTACATCTAAATCATAATCATTTTACTTTTTTTTTCCTCTCAAAAGTTAAAAAAGTCAAATTAAAAAAAGTTTACTAAAAAGAGCCAATTGTCAAATGACAACAAAATTATATTGTGCAGTAAGTATGATCAAATTCAATGATAATCATGGAAATATTTTAATTTTTGAGAAAACCATAGCAATATTTTATGGGAAAATTAGTTTAAGGTCCATCTCCCATTTTTAGTAATGAAAGAGATCCACAATATTATTTTATGATGTCTAAGGTCCCTCAATCCCACACCCATATATCACAGAGAAATTTGACTATCTCAAATCAAACTTCATTTCTTTATCTACTTCGATACTGTTTAAACCCTAGCTCTCACCAATCTTCTCCTTCTCTCTCTACAAAAATGGCAAACAACAGTCGATATCGCCGACGTCGACAGCTCAATGGCGAAGAAGAAGAGGATGACGACAATGTTTATGGCTATGGCGGCATTGTTAGTTTTGCTGATGATCTTTACCTTCCATATCGATTCAGTTTTGGGGGGAGAGGCGAGATAGGAGGTTTCGCTGTCCATACAAATAATAATGATCGCCATAGGAGTTCTTCAAGATCAAGCTATCATACAATACAGTCTATAGTCACCAATCCTATCACAGTACTAGTACTGGTATACCAAGAACATCTCATCAGAAACTCAATTCATCACAATCAGCATCAACTGATTCTAAATCCGAATGAAGAGCGATTACGATTGTGTTCTTTGCTGTTCTGTTTATTGTTGTCATGATGTTTGTCTTTGAGTGCTCGCAGTCACAGCAAAGCAAGGATTTTGTGCTCATGGTTTAGGTTCTTCATTAATTGATTTCTCTTTGCACAAAAACACATTTTAATTTATATATATATATATATATATTGGTTGCTGTTGTTGTTTATTCACTCATATTTGTGATAAAGTTCTAGTTTGGCCAGTGAAAATCATTGCACTAAAATTTTTCTAGTTTGGTTAAAACAATTTTCTCTGATTTAAAATTGAGAACAAACATAAAAAAAATTTGTGAATAAAGCCAAAAATTCTCTGGGTTGATCTAGAGAAATTCTCCTCTGGGTTTGAACTAAAATTTCTCTGGAGAGGTAATGTTGTGGAAATGCAGAGAAATTTCTCTAGAGAGTGGAAAGTATATGGGAAGTATATGGAAAGCAGAGAAATTTATGAAAGGCCAGGGAGGCCAAAATTTCTCTGGAGAGGTAATTTTGTGGGAAGGCGGTGAAGTCAGGAGTGTTAAGTCTAAAATTTCTCTGGAGATGTGTGGAAAGTCAGAGAAATTTCTCTGGGAGAGTGGGAAGTATAGAGAAGGTAGAAAAATTTGGAGAAGGGGAAGACAGAGAAATTTACAATGGAAAGTTTAAGGAAGGTCAGAGAAATTTTCAAAATTTCTTTGAACCAATTTTCTCTATGACATGAATTTTCTCTAGATCAATTGAGGAACCTTAGACATTATTAAAATATTGAATGTCCTTTATGCTATAAAATCTTAATACTAGGGACCTTAAAAAAAAAATTTCCCATATTTTATCCTATTTTTTTACTTATTATTAATTAATGATTAAATTTTTATACTTAATTCAAAAATCTCCAAAATAAACTCGATTTGGTTTTGAAATTCAAAATTTATTTTTGATCTAAAATTTTTTTAGCAATTTTTTTTTGCATATTTTAATAATTTTTTAAGTTTTTAGATCCGTAAATATACTTAACAAATAATTTATTTACACTGATCAAAAAAAATAATTTATTTATAGAAAATAATTTATATTTTTGTATTTTTTATTCAATAATTTCCTTTTAAAATTTATTCACAAATATTTTATTTTTTAAATGCCTTTTAATTAGATGCATCGTAAAACAAAAAAAAAAGTCCTTCAAAAATTCATTAAGAAAAATAATAAGGAATTTTTAGTTTAAAATCTCTGATCTTAGGATTTTATTAAAGAACATGCAATATTTTTATAGTAGATGATGTCTCTCAACATTTTTACAGAGAAACTCTCAAAAAAATTTCCAACTCTTCACAAAGAAATTTTAACTCTTTTGTGAAGAGTTAAATAGAGGCTCAATTAATCTCTAACAATTCAACAATTTATCATTTTAAATCCCTAAATTCATATCATGTTATTTCCACAATTAAAATTCTTTTTGTCAAATGAGCATCATTATTAGAAGCTAGGGCTTCACCTCTCTCTGTACATAAACAAATTAAACCACTACCCAACATTAATCCTACAACAATGAATCTCCTAAATCTCAACCTCACACACCCATCTTAAACAATATGGTGTTTATCGTCAGTGCCAGAACTCGTGACAAACTAGCTGACTGGTTTTCTCCGTGTGAAAATCTTGGAATTGCAGCTGAGCACGGCTATTTTCTGAGGTGGGTAATGTCTTGTTTGTTTGTTGAAATTTCGGTTTATGGAAAATGGAGGTGCTTTTATTGGAAATTGATTCTCGTTTAATTACAGGCTGAAGCGGGATGAAGAATGGGAAACGTGTGTACCGGTGGTAGATTGTAGTTGGAAGCAGATTGCAGAACCGGTTATGAAGCTTTACACAGAGACAACTGATGGGTCCACGATTGAGGATAGAGAAACGGCATTGGTTTGGTGCTACGAGGATGCAGATCCTGATTTTGGATCGTGCCAAGCTAAGGAACTTCTTGATCATCTTGAAAGCGTGCTTACCAATGAGCCTGTTACAGTCAAAAGCGGGCAGAACATTGTGGAGGTCAAGCCACAGGTATGAATTAATTACTTATAGAACAATTATTCATGTAGTTTGTCTTTGGTATTTGTATCTCCAATTGGTTGGGGTGGATTGAGGGAAGACAAGAAGTGTTTTCGGAAAATGAAAACAGAAAACAAAAACAGAACCAAACAGAAGTTTCTTGCAGCATAACCCGTGTGCCCACTTTTCTACCCTCTGATCTGTTTACTAGATACTATCATGGGTTTTGCAAACAACAATTATGGCCATTGTTTCACTATATGTTGCCCCTTTCACCAGAGCTTGGTGGTCGGTTCAATCGGTCACTATGGCAGGCCTATGTTTCGGTTAATAAGATTTTTGCAGATAGGATCATGGAAGTGATTAATCCAGAAGACGATTTCGTGTGGGTTCATGACTATCATCTTATGGTGTTACCTACCTTCTTGAGGAAGAGATTCAATAGAGTGAAACTCGGGTTTTTCCTCCATAGCCCCTTCCCTTCGTCCGAGATTTACAAGACTTTACCCATAAGGGAAGAGCTTCTGAGAGCGATTTTGAATGCCGATTTGATTGGCTTCCATACCTTCGACTATGCTCGGCATTTCCTCTCGTGTTGTAGTCGGATGCTTGGCCTGTCATATGAATCCAAAAGGGGTTACATAGGCCTCGAGTACTATGGTCGGACCGTGAGTATCAAAATCCTTCCTGTGGGTATTCACATGATTTAAAAGTTGACAAAATATTATTTATAAAAATTTAGTTTTGAGTTTTCAATCTATATTATTTTTTTCTTAGTGAATTTTTTGAATATATTAATTAGTTTTTTTGTTTTAAATTGCTTAATCTAGATAAATATTTGCGAACTAATCTAAAAAAATTCAATAAATACAAGAAATTATTAAAATATATTAAATTTTAATTTTTTGTATTTAATAATTTTTTTACAAAATTTATATTTTTTAAGTGTGTCTAAATTAAATGAATTTAAAAAGTAAAACAACTGTTAAATATTAAACAATTCATTAAAAAAAGTATAAATTAAAAAGTCAAAAATTATTTTTAAAAATTAAAAACCAAACAGAGTAAATATAATTTACAATTTAATTATTAACTGGCAAACATTTTATCTTAAAAAAAGAGAAGGAAAAAAAAAAAAGAAACCATCTCACTATTTATATGCTATTTGTCTTGAAAAATTCCAAAAAATATATTACTATATTTATCAGTTAGGACAGTGTGGAGTGTATATAATGAGCTGTTGAGGAAGCTCTGTATAATCTGTAGAGATAAGCTTAAAAAAGAACAGTACTCTCTCTGTTTATTTATTTATCATTTGCTACGTTAGGGTTTTCATTTTTTGGGGATTCAAATTGTGCAAGGTCTGGTAAATTTTCATTCCCATGTTCTTCAGTTCTTATCCATCAATTGTCTCATATCTCTAACATGTGATTTTATCTTTATCTATATCAGTGTGATTCTCTCTAACAGTATATTTTGTTATCAGCTGATTATATTTCATCTGAATCTATTCTATTCCTTTCCTCTTTTCATCTGTTTGTCAAAGAAACTTGTTTCCTTATCCACACTAGCTTTGATTCACTCGTCACTGTTAAGTTCTTCTAAGAATTTTCTTGAAACTTCTGTTTTTTGGTTTCATTTTGGTTCACAAAACTTACCTTTAATTGTGAACTTTGTTTCTGGGTTAATTTGCTTTTGCTAGTTGGGTTTTGTGGTTCCATGAGAGTTATCTTTTCTGTTTGTATAGTGAGAAAGCTATAAATATAATATGCTTTTGCTAGTTGGGTTTGTGGTTTCATGAGAGTTCTCTTTTGTGTTTGGATAGAGAGAAACAAGGTTTTCCTCTGCTTGGCTTATTAGGGCTACGTAAATATACATAATCAGTGGGGAAAATGGTGTCAAGGTCATACTCAAACCTCTTGGAGCTTGCCTCCGGCGAGACTCCGGTGCCGTCTTTTTCCCGGATGGGCCGGAGAATTCCCCGGATTATGACGGTAGCCGGGATAATGTCAGATCTTGATGATGACCCGTCTGAGAGTGTGTGCTCGGACCGGTCATCGTCATCAGTCCATCGGGACAGGATAATCATTGTAGCCAATCAGCTGCCAATTAGGGTTCAAAGGAAAACAGAGAATGGAAAGGGGTGGATTTTCACTTGGGATGAGAATTCACTTTTGCTTCAATTGAAAGATGGGTTGGGTGATGATGAAATTGATGTTATATACGTGGGTTGTCTCAAAGAAGAAATTCACCCAAATGAGCAAGATGAGGTCTCACAGATACTCCTTGAGACATTCAAGTGTGTGCCCACTTTTCTACCCTCTGATCTGTTTACTAGATACTATCATGGGTTTTGCAAACAACAATTATGGCCATTGTTTCACTATATGTTGCCCCTTTCACCAGAGCTTGGTGGTCGGTTCAATCGGTCACTATGGCAGGCCTATGTTTCGGTTAATAAGATTTTTGCAGATAGGATCATGGAAGTGATTAATCCAGAAGACGATTTCGTGTGGGTTCATGACTATCATCTTATGGTGTTACCTACCTTCTTGAGGAAGAGATTCAATAGAGTGAAACTCGGGTTTTTCCTCCATAGCCCCTTCCCTTCGTCCGAGATTTACAAGACTTTACCCATAAGGGAAGAGCTTCTGAGAGCGATTTTGAATGCCGATTTGATTGGCTTCCATACCTTCGACTATGCTCGGCATTTCCTCTCGTGTTGTAGTCGGATGCTTGGCCTGTCATATGAATCCAAAAGGGGTTACATAGGCCTCGAGTACTATGGTCGGACCGTGAGTATCAAAATCCTTCCTGTGGGTATTCACATGGGACAGCTTCAATCGGTTTTGAGCCTTACAGAGACTGAACAAAAGGTTTCTGAGCTCATCAAGCAGTACTGTGGACAAGATAGGGTAATGCTTCTAGGCGTTGATGATATGGACATTTTTAAGGGTATTAGTTTGAAGTTATTGGCGATGGAACAACTACTTATGCAGCACCCGGAGTGGCAAGGGAAGGTCGTTTTAGTACAGATAGCGAATCCCGCTAGGGGCCGTGGCAAAGATGTAAAAGAAGTTCAAGCCGAGACATATTCAACCGTGAAGCGAATTAATGAAGCCTTTGGTAAACCAGGGTATGAGCCTGTCGTCTTGATTGATGAGCCCCTTAAGTTTTATGAGAGAATTGCTTACTATGTTGTTGCCGAGTGTTGTTTGGTTACAGCCGTCAGGGATGGAATGAATCTCATACCGTATGAATACATAATCAGTCGCCAAGGAAACGAGAAATTAGACAAGGTTTTGGGGTTGGGGTCGTCTACGCGAAAGAAGAGCATGTTGGTTGTGTCTGAGTTCATTGGATGTTCTCCATCTTTGAGTGGAGCAATTCGGGTCAACCCATGGAATATTGATGCCGTTGCAGATGCAATGGACTCTGCTCTTACGATGGCTGAAGCAGAGAAACAGATGCGGCACGAGAAGCATTATCGATATGTGAGTACCCATGATGTCGGGTATTGGGCTCGTAGTTTCCTCCAAGATTTGGAGAGGACGTGCAAGGATCATGTGCAGCGGCGGTGTTGGGGTATTGGGTTCGGATTGAGTTTCAGAGTTGTTGCACTCGATCCAAATTTCAGGAAGCTATCGATGGAGCACATAGTTTCTGCTTTCAAGAAGAATAGAAATAGGGCAATCCTTCTAGACTATGATGGCACGTTAATGCCTCAGGCTTCAATTGATAAGGGCCCAAGTTCTAAAACCATTGAAATCATAAATAGTTTGTGTAGAGATAAGAACAATATGGTGTTTATCGTCAGTGCCAGAACTCGTGACAAACTAGCTGACTGGTTTTCTCCGTGTGAAAATCTTGGAATTGCAGCTGAGCACGGCTATTTTCTGAGGTGGGTAATGTCTTGTTTGTTTGTTGAAATTTCGGTTTATGGAAAATGGAGGTGCTTTTATTGGAAATTGATTCTCGTTTAATTACAGGCTGAAGCGGGATGAAGAATGGGAAACGTGTGTACCGGTGGTAGATTGTAGTTGGAAGCAGATTGCAGAACCGGTTATGAAGCTTTACACAGAGACAACTGATGGGTCCACGATTGAGGATAGAGAAACGGCATTGGTTTGGTGCTACGAGGATGCAGATCCTGATTTTGGATCGTGCCAAGCTAAGGAACTTCTTGATCATCTTGAAAGCGTGCTTACCAATGAGCCTGTTACAGTCAAAAGCGGGCAGAACATTGTGGAGGTCAAGCCACAGGTATGAATTAATTACTTATAGAACAATTATTCATGTAGTTTGTCTTTGGTATTTGTATCTCCAATTGGTTGGGGTGGATTGAGGGAAGACAAGAAGTGTTTTCGGAAAATGAAAACAGAAAACAAAAACAGAACCAAACAGAAGTTTCTTGCAGCATAACCCAATATAACCTTGGTTTGTGTTTCTTGGTCCAAATTCAGGTGGGATTGGGTTATGCTGCTTTTCTTTAGTTGGTGTCGATGAGATATTCTCTTTTGTGCACTTCATCCATGCTATTGTCCCTGTCACTATGTAAATGATATTATGCAGATAGAATACCAGACATGAAACAATTTACAAAAAGTTGGTCTGCTTAGGGAAGAAACAATTGACATTAATTAGTGATCATAGGACTGTTCTCTAAATTTTGCTAAGCTAACAGAGTCTTAGATTTTCTTGTTGACAAGATAGATACTATTTTTGTTTAGTATCATATAATTAACATAAATTAGGCAAGACTTGATCAAGCCTGAACCTTTCGATTGGGCTTTCCAACCCATACCCATTTTTCTGCAACATCAATGCTTGTTTGGCATGTTGGATATTAGTACACTTTTTTTTTTTTTTAAATCTTTATATCTTTTTTGGATCAAATCACCTTCCTATTTTTCTGCATATCTTTTTGTAAAACGTCAAAAAATATACTTATAGAGTCGGGCTCATGTTAAGGGGGAGTCCTCTCGGGCTGATCCTTCTGCAGGTTCCACTGCTGGCCTTGCTGAGGAGGCTGAATATGATGCTGCTGCCGCCGGGGGTGAGGAGGATCCTACTCCACCTGTTCCACCTAGCTCGTTTCCTGATCAGCTTCGGCATTTTGAGGAGGCCATGACTCGGAGGTTAGACTTTCTTGATGCTCGTTTTGACGCCTTTGATGGTCGACTTGGTCAGCTGGAGCAGACTGCTGCTCACAATACTTCGCAGCTGGATCACATCATTTCCTTACTGACGCTTCAGCCGCCACCTCCTCCCTCTGGTGCTTGATTTGTTGCTTTCTTCATTCCCGGTCAAAAAGGGGGAGAGTTTGGATCCATATCATATCTGCTGCTATCTGCTGCTGCTGCTGGATATTTGCTGACCCATGGATACTGTTGATATATTGGTATATTTTGGTTATGATACATGGATATTTTTTGATATTTTGTTCCGTTGGTTCTATTGAATGGATACATTTTGTTATATTCTTATATAGTTCCACAAGTTTTGGTTTTTCTGGTATGTTGCTCGTTTTTTCACAGGTGAATGGTGGATGATGAATTGAATTGATGGATCGATATATGGCAAGATTGGAAAGCTTGTTTGTTTATAGAGTTGTTTTGAGTGTTTTAGTATTGGTTTTTGAATTTTGTCTAGTGCTTGTGTTTAAGGACTTTTGTTTAGAAAGTTTTGTCCGGGAATTGACAAAGGGGGAGATTGTTAGGTCCCTGTGTTGTCAAATCCGGAGACAAAATCTTATGTTGGTTCAAAACTGTGTTTTTCTGTTTTTGTACTGTCCGCTCGAGCGGAGACTCTTGAGCTCGAGCGTAGATTAGCAGGTCACAGTAGTTTGACAGGGCAAGCACAGATTCTGGAAGGTGTGATTTGACGCTCGAGCGGAAACTCCTACGCTCGAGCGCAGCTCTGTTTCTTCGTATGCAGTTTTTGTTCAGTCCGCTCGAGCGGGCTATGTTGAGCTCGAGCGGAGATCGCGGTTTTCAGATCCTTATTTAAAGCTGCTAACGTTGTTTTGTTGGAGACGTTTTTCCTAGATCTGATCAAAACAAACTAGGGTTGTGTTTAAAGTCTTCTTGGGAGATTTTTGAGAGT